GCCCTGGCTGGGTGGCTTAGTTGGTTGGAGCATCATACTGTGCACAGGAAGGTTGCAGTTTCCATTCCCAGTCAGGGCACCTACTTTAGGCTGTGGATTCGATTCCCCCCTCCCCCGTGGCAGCGCATATAGGAGGCAACCAATCTGATGTTTTTCCTTCTCTTGCTCTCTCTTTGTCTTTTTCTCACTCTCTAAAATTAATGAACATATCCTTGGGTGAGGATTAAAAAATAAGTAAGAAAACAAAAGGAATGAAGCACTGATACATGGTATAACATCATGAATCTTGAAAAATATTGGGTTGTCCAAAAAGTTCATTTTTTCCCATAAGATGGCTCTTACAGGGCTTATTTCTCTTTAACTTCATTTGAAACAATTTTGTTAGATTGTATTGTGACAGCTGTTGCATTAGAATGCATTTTAAAAAACATCAAAATTGGTGAGTTTTTGTGTAGCCATTTTTAACATTGAAATAGAAGAAAATAAGCAATATTTTCAGCATACTGTGCTTTATTATTTGAAGAAAGGTAAAAACACAACTGAAATGCAAAAAAATTATTTGTGCAGTGTATGGAGAAGGGGCCGTGACTGATAGAATATGTCAAAAGTGGTTTGCAAAGTTTCATGCTGGAGATTTCTTGCTGGATGATGATGCTCTACAGTCAGGTAGACCAGTTGAAGTTCATAGCAATCATATCGAGACATTAATTGAGTACCGTCAATGTTGTACCATGTGGGAGATAGTCAACATACTCAAAATATCCAAAATCAATAAAGTTATTGGTGGAAATGAAAAATGTGTGTTTTATTTTACAGGAAAACCTAAACAGACTTGTTGGCCAATCCAATATTATGGTGAATAAAATAAGCCACTCACATAAGACCATATATTGTACATTTCTACTTATATGAAATATCCAAATAGACAAATTCATAGACAGAAAACAGATTAGTGTTTCCAATGGGCTGTGGGGATGGAGGATTGGGAGTGACTACTAATGGGGATGTACTTTCTTAATGAGAGTGATGAAAATATTCTAGTCTTACATAATGGTGATAGATGTACAATTTTGTAAATACTTAAAATACTGAATTGTATACAATCAAAAGGCAAATTTATGGTATGTAGATTAATTTGAAATTTTAAAAAAACTGTAAACAACCAAAGTGTTGACAAACATCCATTCATTGACAATTAGTCACATAAAAATTATAATAATTGGGATTGTGTGCAGCTTTTACATTCTAAAAAATATTTTTTAAATTTATTTTTAGAGAGGGGAAGGGGGGAGAAAGAAAGGGAGGGAAACATCAATGTATGGTTGCCTGCCCCACACCCCCTGGCCTGGCCTGCAACCCAGGCATATATGCCCTGACTGGGAATTGAACAGGGGACCCTTTGGTTTGCAGGGTGGCACTCAGTCCACTGAGTCACATCAAGCAGGGCTAAATTTTAAAATGAGAAGAAAGAATGTTTTATCTGGAAAATACGCCTGGTTGCATTGTTAAGTTAGAAACAAAATAAAACAAAAAACTAAGTAAAAAAATTGTAATACTTCATAAAATTCTTAACAATGAATAGTTAAATAATACATTAAGACCTAAAATAAAACAAAAATATGTGTACTCTCACTCCAAATTATTGTTATTTCTCATTTAATAAGAATGTTACAGAAAAGCCCTAATTTTTGTCCTTAGATATATCCTTAAAAGCCAATTAACAGAGAAATTCTTTATATTTCTACATAGAAGAGGGAAATTCTTGGCCTCAAAATGAAAGCTCATTTCTAAAAGAAATCACAATGAATCGACCAACATCTCAATTAAAAATAAAACAAAAACCTTGAATGAAAACTATCACCCAGAGGTGGGTTCAGTTTCATTCTTTATTTTCATTCTCTCTTTGGGCACTTTAAATTACGAAAGAAATTCAGATCTACAGCACTTTTCAAATCTACTTCTTCAACCTAAGGGTGCCCTCTTCTGGTTCCATGATTCACATTCAGCTCATTCATCAATGTTGAGAAAAGGGAAAAGCTTAACTTGAGAAAGATAATTGGGAAAAATTATTATGAAACCTAGAAGTAAAAGGCCTTAGTTTTCCATTTTGGTATGACAAAAAATACAAAAACAAAATCCAGTTGCGAGTATAATGGTAGTTGCCAAGGACCGGAAAGGGGAAAATGGAAAGCCCTGGCTGGTGTAGCTCAGTGGATTGAGCGCGGGCCTGCGAACTAGACAATCGCGGTTCCATTCCCAGTCAGGGCACATACCAGGTTGCAGGCCCGGTTCCCTGCAGGCCAGTTCCCAGCAGGGGACGCACAAAAGGCAACCATACATTGATGTTTCTCTCCCTCTCTCCTTCCCTTCCCCTCTAAAGATAAATAAATAAAAAATCTAAAAAGAAAAAAGAAGAAAGGGGAAAATGGAAAGGTATGTTTAATGTGTATGAAAATTTCTGGAGATTGTTTGCAGAACATTGACAATATACTTAACACTATTAAACTGTACACTAAAATGTTTAAGGTGGTGAATTTTGTTATATTTATTTTACCACAACTAAAAATAAAAATAGATAAATTCAGTTGAAATAGAAAGAGTCCAGGTTGATGGCAGCAGCTCTAAGTTGAGACTGTTTTCACCTCAAGTCAAATGTTTATGATAAATCATAGTCACCTGGATTTGATATAATTAATTCCTTTCATCTCACTAAAATGGGCACATATTTCTCTTAATTTACTTAAACTATAGTTAAAAACAACTTCATTTCAACTTTTCAAGTTTTTAGTCTCACAGATTTAGAGACCCACGTAAAAGACTGTAAAAATTCCTCTTCATTTACTTTGGGAAATATTTAAATATCTTGCAATAAAAAAATAAAGACTCTAAGATTTGACTTCTATTGGGTTGAAAGCATGACATTCACTGAGATGAAAAACACTAGAAAAGAAACAAGTGTTGTAACACTGGTTGTAACAAGTTGTTGTACTGGGTTGTAACAATGCTAAACATCCTACATTGCACAGACAGTTCCTCCTCACTCCCAAGAATGATCTGGCCTCAAATGTCAATAGTCAAGAATGAGAAATCCTGGTTTAGAGTTATTTCCTCTGACCTTGACCACTTTTTCTAGCCTTTCTAGCACACTTCTCTTCTTTCTCTATTACTCACTATTCTGTCTTTAGCCCACTTCTCTTTTCTCTGTATTTTCTCTTGGGCATGTAATCCTTTTCCATGACTTCAACTACCACATCTATGTTACTGGTTCCCACATCTATATATCTGGTCCCAACCACTCTTCTTGCCCTAGAATGTTGTTTCTCCTGATTTCCCCATCACACATTTCTATTAACCTACTGCTACATTTCCTGTCTTTATTAGTGGCATCTGATAGAAAACCATAGGGTCATTTATATTCCAAACATTTTATGAGTATTTAGTTTGCAAAAAGGGCTGTGTTGTTACTTGGTGGAAAGTAGTGATGGTGGAGATGAGAGGCAATCATGGTTAATAAGCACTTTAATTGCATTATCTATGATTATGGTGATATTTTTGCAAAGAAAAAAATTATCACCTAGAAGCTAAAGCTCAAAGTGTTTAATCAACTATTTAAATATCACAAAGCTTTCATTTAGCAGAGGATTTTGAAAGTCAAATTTTTATATTAAGGATTGAACTATCTCCATTTTTAAAATTTAAAAAAATGAGTACACTTACAACCCAGTTATTCCATTTGTGGGAATTTATCCCAAGAAACCCAAAACACTAATTGGAAAGAATATAAGCACCTCTGTGTCCATTGCAGTGTTATTTACAATCGCCAAGATATGGAAGCAGCTCAAGTGTCCATCAGTAGATGAGTGGATAAAACAACTATGGGACACTTACACAATGGAATACTACTCAGCTATAAAAAAAGAATACAGTTTTACCCTTTGTGATGGCATGGATGGACTTTGAAAACATTATGCTAAGTGAAATAAGCCAGTCAGAGAAAGACAAATACCATATGGTTTCACTCATATGTGGGATCTAAGGAACAAACTGACCTAACAAGCAAAATAGAGACAGACTCATAGATACAGAGCAGGTTGGTGGGGGTGGTGGAGGTGTGGAGGAACCCAGCAAAAAAGAGAAAGAACTCATTGGGGAGGGAGGGTGTGGGTAGCAGTGGAAGAGGATATAGGGGGATAAATGGTAATGGAAAATACAATATAATGAACTATTAAAGAATTGAGGTCAGTGCTAAAAATGTGTGGTTTAGTTTGTCCATAGCCTAAGGGAGATGGTTGTGAATGGTGAAGTTCCAGTGGCTTTTTCTTCCAAGCCAATTTGTACCCTCTCCTGGTTACTTATCACATATAATAGAATATAAAATGCTTGTGACAGGAAGATGAATCATTATTTTCCATAACCCTAGGACGAAATGAACATTACCAATTAAAGCATGACACACCATGAATTGTCCAAGATTTCATGGATATCCAAATGTTTTAAAAAGGTAAGCCTTCAGAAGTTTCTAATTTGTTACAATATGAAGAAAAACGTGATGTTAAATTCTGTGATATACGGTAAACTTACTGGCCACATTCAATTTCCAAGGTCAATGCTAGTGTGCTGTTCTGCATTTGAGTCAACTAACATGTTAGTGTATTGTTTCCTAAATGGTCAGAAGTAGTTCCATAGCTTTGTGTTTTGCATCTGCAACTCAAAGCACTTAGCTCTTCAATAATTTCTTTGTTTGCACCCCCAGCCCCTCACCCTCCACACCGCGTTACTATGCACACAGAGTTTACCAGCATAGATTGTATAAGAAAGCCCATAGATTTGGTTACACTATGGGGAGAAATGATGGGAAAACATCGTATTATATAAATGCGTCATTTAAGACCCATCCTCATAGAAACGTGAAAATGGGGTAGGGTTAAGAGCTGGGGCGGAGGCGGAGAGGGGATATACGTCTCAGGATACAGGAAATACGGTAAGAGAGAAACCGGGAGGAAGCTCTGTGTCTGGAGGGGACCCGGCGCCATCTCAGGTCTCTTTGCCTTGCTAGGGCCCACCACAAAAAGCTGACGCCCAGGTCCTACAATCCTTATGGGGGACCAACCTTGCACCTCCGGGAGATCTACGCTCCCACCTGGAAACACGCGGGAAATCAAGCCTCCGAAAAAGCGCTGCCTCCTAGCTCCACGGTGGGATTATCCGGAAGGGACCCCCAACGGAGGTACTACCCCTCTCCCCTCCGCACCTCCTCCTGCATCACCCGGCCTGAAGTCGCACCCTCCTCCTCCAGAGAAGTAGTAGATTATACTTCTCCCACCCTAAACCAGGTCAGATTCTTTCTTTCTCATCTGGGACATTCTGGCTCTCTGAAAGTTAATTACGTGTTTCCTATATCGCCTTCCCACTTTTCCTGATTTCTCCACGATTTTAAAATTGAAGAAAGAATATGGAGGCATTAAATCATTATTCCACAAAATATGCTTAGGTGAAATTTTGGATATTTAACGATATTAAGTAATTATTTTTACTATGTTAGTTGTGATAATTGTGGGTTATATTAAGAAAAGTAGGCTTAAATGTTTTAATGTGGTTGAAAGTATTGTAATTAGGTGGGGTTGAGGTGGGGGTTCGAAACAAAAGGTTCATAAGTTGATAATTATGAAAGGTAAGTGATGTATTTATGGGGAATCATTAGAATGTTCTCACTACTCTTGTGTACAGTTGAAACTTTCAGTTTAAAAATGCTTTAAGATAAATAATGACAATATATTCAAGGCCTAATTCCCCTGCCTAGCACTGTGCTAACAGAATATTTATAAAGTGAGCTATAGAACTGTGTGATCATTTCCCTGTATATGGTGGGAGAAATTAATAAGTAAAAACAAAATTACAATATGATAAGTCAAACCCAAGTGCCATAATGTTTGCTTGTTCAAGGTATTCAGGAAGCAACCTAGGATGGACCCAGTCATTCTGCCTGGTAGTAATCATGAACTTTCAGAGAGGAAAAGGGAAATTTGGGTGAGCCTTAAAGGGTGAGTGACATCTGCCTTGTGGAAGGGGAGAGAATGTTTTTCAGGCCTCATGTTTCTAGAACAAAAGCCCCAAGACAGGTTTGTTCTGGGAAGAGGTTGGCTATAACTCTGAAATCTATGAGGACTATGAGGTGAGACAGAATATTGTAGGGTCCTGAATATTATGCTAAGGAGTATGCAATTTAATCTGTAAGCATGGCAACCATTGATGATTTTCAAGCAAGTGATGTATTTTAGGAGTCTACTTTTTTACTGTCAGAGAAATAAATGTTCAATTTACATGAGCTTATAGAATGCAAAATATAAAACCAAATCTGATGTAAGCTTCACAGAGCCTTGTAATCCAAAGGAGACAGGGCTTTTTCTTTCTTAATTTATGCAATAAACCTCTCAATGAAGCCCTTGCAAGGGACTAGGCATTGTGCTGGCAGCTAAAAGGGGTGATGACCAAGGCATAGTGCCTGCTACATAGTAGGAGTAAAACAAATATGTGAATAAATAAATGAATGACAGGACAACAGTGACAACTAAGGGTGTTCTGAATTTAGGGCTTGGTGGTATTGCATAGAAAATGAAAGAGCTCTAGTGCACTTGAAAGTATTGCTAGATCATTCCTTACAGCCTGAATTCCCTCAACTTTAGTTCTGTATCCAAATGGGTAGTGGTGGTTGGTAAGAGTATAGGAATAGCAGTGCTCAGAGAGAAAACTAAGGAGGTAATATAGGCCAAAAAGTACTAGAGCTACATAATTTCCTCCACTGATTCAAATCACTGAAAATTGTAATAATAGTAAATATTTAGTGAATATTTTTATGTGCCAGATACTATTGTAAAGGGCTTCCATAGTCTATGCTTAACTATGCAGTAAACTCTCATAGAATATATATCCTTATAACTCTTTTACATGAATCATAATTGAAATGGGAGAATGGTGGAGCATAAGGACTTGAGGAGGCCAGGGAAAAGAGATAAACAGTAATGGAAAAAGTTATTTTACCTTATTTATTATTTTTCAGTCTTTGAGGGATTGCAGTATGACTCCATTTTCTTGGTGCATTCATAAAATAGTTTATTCAGTGAAGACAACGAGGATTATTGACAATGCTACCCTGCTTTTCCTGTTGTCCTGCACTGGGAAGTTGTGACTTTTAAGGTAATGTCTTTACCAAAAAATTAAGGAGAGAAGAAAAATAAGAGTTGATTATGACATTAAGTTAATTTTGACATTACAAATGACTAGCCAAACAAAAACCAAAAAGCTATCACCAAATGATAGAATTGAAACCATTTTCTATGCTATATGAACCATATATACAACATAAGAATGTTATTTATAATCTGTTTTGTTAGATTAACTCCTTATTACGTTATAGTTTCTGTTGTTACTATGAAAAGTATATTTTAAATCACATTTTCTGATTATTTCTGGTAAATGGGAACATGATTGATATATTTACATACTGATTTTACATGCTGCAACCTTTCTTAATTCTATTTATTCTGATAATTTATGTATTCTTTGTTAATTATATTGGGAATAATGGCAAATTCTTCCTGTCTAATATTTTTTGCTCATCCATATGTTTAGAAAATTTTTAGCTTGTTTTCTGTGCTAGATGGTCTTTAGTACAACAAAAATTAGTAGAAGTGATAGAGGATGTCCTTGTCTTGCTACTGAATTTACAAGGAAGTTTTACAAATGTTTCATTATTTTTAGTAGATTTCATTTTTCATCTAAGGAAGTTCCCTTCTATTAACTTGCTGAGAGTTTTTCTTGTGAATGAGTATGGAGTTTTTTCTTCAGACACTGTAAATATTTATTGCCATGATTATATGTTATTTCTTGATTAATATGACAGTGTGACTATATGATAAATTATGATAATCAATTTCTAATAACATCGGTTTTGGTTTCATTAGGTCTTACCACTGAATATTTTGGTTTTTATTTTAGTAATTTTTGGTTTTATCTTTTTTACTTTGTTTCCTCTTCTTCCAATGAAGAAGCTTTGTTTATTTGAACCTTTAGCTCAATAATTTTCAATTTTCTTTTCTAAAATGATTTATGACTATAAATTTTTCACTATGTACCACTTTAGAAGAACTTCACAGGTTTTTATATGTAGTAACTTATTTTCATTAAATTATTATTTTTTAATTATTTTATTGTTGTTCAAGTGCAGTTGTCTGAATTATTATTTTTGTTTTCTCATGATTTCTTTTTGACTCATGAGTTATTTGGTTTTTTAAAAGTTACAAACATGTGTGTCTTTTTAAAAATCATATTGTGAAATCATTAGTTCAATTACAGATGAACATCTTATTTTCTGCTGTAAAGTGTTTAATGTTTTTTATCTTTCAGGAAATAAAAACCAAAATTGTACACTGGCTCCTCATCCCAATAGATTTTGAAAATATAAAACTTTTTGTTTCATTAAATACGTAGGAAAAGAGTGATATTATTCAATGGTGGAATTATTACTGATATTTATGCTTATGTTTTTTTAACTTTTTTATTTTGATCCAATTCTACACTTAAAGAAAATTTGTAAGAATATTACAACAAACTACCATATACCCTTTCCCCAGATTCACCAATTAACACATTGCCATGCTTGCTTTATCATTCTCTATTTCTATATCATTCTTTATCATTCCACTCCCACTCCCTTCCCCCTTTTCCTCTTTTCCTCCCCCACCTGTTTCCCTTTCCTCCACCTCCCCCTCTTCCTCTCTCCTCTTTCTTTCTCCCTCTTCCATTTCATCTGTCTGAACTATTTGAGAGTAACTTGCAGACATCATGCTCCTTTACCTGTAAATACTTCAGTGTATATATCCTCAGAACAACGTCTTTCTCTTACACTGTGACAAAATAAAAATTTGACATTGTTCTGTAAACATTTATTGTCAAGATTACACACTCATACTTACTGGAAAATGGATGAGTCTGGGAAAACATCTATTTCAAGTGACAATATAAGCTGCGTTCTTTTTTCCAGCTTTATTGACGTACATTTAACATAACATTCTAAGTTTAATGTGATTATTTGTTATATGTATTATAGAATGATTAGCACAATATGGTTAGTTAACATTTCAGTAATCTCTCATTGTTACCATATTTCATGTATAGTTAGAACTTTTAAGATCTACTTTCTTAGCAACATTTAAGTATATAATACAGTATTGTTAACTATGGCCACTGTTCTATAGTATAGTACTACACTGTGATGATAGTTGTATAACTATGGATAACTAAATATAGTGTAGTATAATGCACATCATGCTATACACTAGATCTTGAAAAATTGTTATAGGTGAAGGTTTATACCTTTTGACCAACTTTGTCCATTTCCCCCACCCTCTTGCCCAAGGAAACCACCAATCTACTCTCTTTTTCTAGGTGTTAGGCTTTTTTAGAGTTCATGCATTAGTGAGATTAAACAGAATTTGTCTTTCTGTGTCTAAATTATTTCACTTAGCTTAAGGTCCTCAAGATTTATCCATTATGTCAGAAATGGCAGGATTAACTTTTTATGGCTGAATAATATTCCATTGTGTATATAGACCACATTTTCTTTTTCCATTCATCTCTCTGTAGGCATTTACTTTGTTTCAATGTCTTCATTATTATAAGTAATGATACAGTGAATATTAGGGTGCAGATATCTCTTGTCAGTAGTAATTTTATTTCCTTCAACTATATTCCCATAAATGGAATTGTAGAATCATATGGTAGTCCTATTTTTAGTTCTTGAAAACTTCCATACTGTTTTCCCTAGTATGTGTAACAATTTACATGCCTACCAACAGTATAAATGATTACCTTTCCTCCATGTCCACGCCAGCATTTATCTCTTGTCTTTTTCATTCTAGCATGTGAGATATCTCATTGTAGTTTTCATTTGCAGTTCCTTGACAATTAGTGATGCTGAGCAAATTTTCATGTAGCTGTTGGCCATTTGAATGTCTTCTTTGGTAAAATGTCTATTCAGGCCCTGTTCAACTTTTAAAAATTGGATAACTTATTTTTCTCCTGTTGAGTTTTATGAGATACTTATATTTTGGATATTAACTTTTATCAGGTATGTGGTTTGCAGTTATTTTCTCTCATTACATAGGTTTTCCTTACAATCTGTTGATCATTTGTTCTGCTGTGCAGAAGCTTTTGAGTTTGATGTAGTCCCATTTATTTATTTTTCTTTTATTGTTTTTTCTTTGGGTATTATACCCATTAATTGATAGCAAAGACCAATGTAAAAAGCTTTTTCACTATGTTTTTATTCTAAGAATTTTATGATTTCTGGTCTTTTACCTTAAGTCTTTAATTCATTGAGGTGAATAAATTTTTGCGAGTCATGTAAGGTTGGGATTCCGTTTCATTCTTTTTTCATGTGAATATCCAGTTTTTTCAGCATCATTTATTGAACAGACTATCTTTTCTCCATTGAGTACGCTTAGCTTCCTTGTCAGAGAATAGGTGACCATATATGTGGGGGTGTATTTTTGGGCAATCGATTATGTTCTATTGGTTTGTCTTTTTCATGCCTGTACCATACTATTCTTTTTTTATAAATTTTTGTTAAAGTATAGTAGCCATACAATATTGTATTGGTTTTAGCTGTACAGTGTAATGATTCAACATGTATATACCTTACAATGTGATCACCACACTGTCTAGTAACTACCTTCTAACATATCAGGTTATTACAATGTTTTTTAATTCTCTGTGTTGTAAACTATATCCCCATGGCTTATTTATTTTACCACTGAAATTTTGTACTTCTTATTCCCCTTTATATTTTAACCTATTCCCCAACCGTTCACTCCTCTAGCAACCATTAGTTTGTTCTTGTTGTAGACTGCTCTGCCTGGTTCTAGGAATTGTATCTCTACCCCTTGTGGCTAAGGGCCAGGGACAACCTTTGGAATGCCAGCCACAGGAGACAAAGCCTGTCTCTGGTAGCAAATGCTGCCTCAGTTTCCTCTCCCTGCCCCCAAAGCTTGGTTGAAAGTCAATGACTGGTAAGACCCCTCACAGCGAAGGGCAACCTAAGCCAGGCACGATCACTTGGGAGGCCTTCATGGAAGGACAGGGGGGAGGGGCTGTAATAAGGAGCAATGGACTCTCGCCCCCCAGCTTTGACATAGCCCGAGTCCCCATGTTCTCTGGGAGATGTGCTTCCTGGTTCTAATCCCCTTAAGCCTAATACCTGATGGGGAGGGGTGTAGCTCCTTGCCTTGCTAGAGCGTGTCCTGGGGGAAAATCTGGCATCACAAAGACTTCCTGATAAACCTGTGAAATCTGCTCTGCTAAGAGTGCTTTCATTCATATGTTAAGGGTTTGAGCAAGAAACCCTAAAACTCTGTTCCTGACAGACTGACTCATACTAAGATTTCTTTGAAATGTTATCTACTGTTTGATCCTTGCGGCCCTGTATTCCTGAGTATTACAACCCAATAAAAGGCCCTGGAGGAGGGAGCTCGAGGCCTTTTTCTCCTTGGAGAAACTGGCTGCTGCTGGCCTTTTCCCCCTGAGAAACTGGCCACTGCTCACGGCCTTTTCCTCTGGGAAAATGGCCACTTCTCCCTAAGCAGATCACATCATGTTTCAGTCATGTTTTCTCTCATTCATGGCACACAGGGGGACTTGCGAGGAAAGTCGCCCCCACATGTTCTCTGTATCTATGAGTCTCTTTTTGTTTTGTTTTATTTTTTAGATTGCCCATATAAGTAAAACCATAAAGTTCTTTGTGTTTCTCTGCATTTTACTTGGCATAACACTCTCTAGATCCATTCATGTTGTAGGAAATAGCAAGATTTCATTATTTTTATGACTATTATTCCATCATGTGTGTATCACATCTTCCTCTTTTTAAAGATTTTATATATTTACTTTTAGGGAGAGGGGAAGGAGGGAGAAAGACAGAGAGAGAAACATCAGTGTGCCAGAGAGACATCAAGCGGTTGCTTCTTGCACACCCCCAGCTGGGAACCTGGCCCGCAACCCAGGCATATGCCCTAACTGGGAATCAAACTGGTGAATTTTCAGTTCTCAGGCTGGCACTCAATCCACTGAGCTACAGTAGTCAGGGTTGTATCACATCCTCTTTAACCATTCATCTATCAATGGACACCTAGGTTGCTTCCATA